TATTACTTGAGACATTAAAACTGTTGTGGTGTGTCTGTCTGGTTTAAATGCACTGGAACATCAGAAAGACAATATATTTTTCAATGTGTAATTTTGTCCACCTCAGTTGAGCGAGTAACTAACGTGCAACAGATGAAAAATGAAAATGTAAGTGAGAGCTGGTACTAAATATGTTTTCTGTTTGGCTTAATCATCGCCACAGACTTACAGGACTCTTACATTACTGTCTTTCTCTTCTAGTCTGACATTTACCATCTGTACGCCACCATCTCTGAGGAAACAGATGCACCAGATTCACAGGATACGATTTAGAGCATGCTGATGCACACTGAAACATTTTGGTGATGTTGTTAGTAAAGTGTATTTAAATGGATTTAATTAATGTAAAAGTCAGAAAAGCTTTACAGGTAGTAGATATTTTTTGCAAATAGTTTTGGACTTAAATTGTTGTAGATTATTTTTTTCTAAGGATAATTGGCATGATCATGCAGTTTTCAGCTTTTGCATTTTTAATAAATGCTTTTAGATCTTCATTATTTTGTTTTAAGTAACTGTAATTTGTAAGATGACAGTCATAACATCTGAGTCATTTCCAAACTTAGAACTGTGGATACTGTTGCCATATAATACGATATGCTTCTTTCCAAATTGTCCACCTTTTAAACAATTGCTGCTTTTAAAAATTAGCTAATAGACTATGTGTATTTATTTTAATGGTGTCATTTGCATTTCAAATTGTGTTATTCAACAGTTTTTTAAGGTGGAGTGTATTTGTTTTGTGTTAATACAAACTAAAGGGGAAAACAACATATTAAACGTGTATCTACAAACTGTCAACTGACAACACAAAATGTTCTTCCAAAATCTGCCTGGAAAAGGTCAAAGGATTTAACTGCATGTCCTTTTCAGTTTTCTCTTGGTAATAAAAAAAATCCCGTTTTGTTTTTTTAAAGTTATATTGACACATTTTGAAGTAAAGGATTTTGTCTAAATATTAAAAAAGCCAATCTTGACTTCAGTCACAGGTCTCAGAAATTGTGGATTTGAATGCCCAAAAATGTATCTTCCATTCAAACTCTGTACTATTGCCATGTCACACTTTGGAATGGAAAACCATATTCAGTGAAACAAAAATATTTATTTTGTTTATATCATTTATTTTAAAAAAACATAAACAAACCTACTAACTGTACTCAGTAAGAGACAGAGTTGCTATTTTATTTTGTACTTGTTGTTTCTTAATTTTTTAACTTTCTGCACCTGGATACTGTGTTCATTGCATATTTAAACATGTATCACAAACACTTGCTACCGTATTATTGATGGAGATTATACATACAACAAATCTTCCCAGACAATCAGGTAATCCACGTCACTTTTCATGTTTACATGAGCAGCCTGCAAAAGTATTCGGCCCCCTTGAACTTTCCCACATTTTGTCACATTACAGCCACAAACATGAATCATTTTATTGGAATTCCACGTGAAAGACCAACACAAAGTGGTGCACACGTGAGAAGTGGAACGAAAATCAGACATGATTCCAAACATTTTTTACAAATAAATAACTGCAAAGTGGTGTGTGTGTAATTATTCAGCCCCCTGAGTCAATACTTTGTAGAACCACCTTTTGCTGCAATTACAGCTGCCAGTCTTTTAGGGTTTGTCTCTACCAGGTTTGCACAGCTAGCGACTGAAATTCTTGCCCATTCTTCTTTGCAAAACAGCTCCAGCTCCGTCAGATTAGATGGACAGCGTTTGTGAACAGCAGTTTTCAGATCTTGCCACAGATTCTCGATTGGATTTAGATCTGGACTTTGACTGGGCCAGTCTAACACATGGATATGTTTTGTTTTAAACCATTCCATTGTTGCCCTGGCTTTATGTTTAGGGTCGTTGTCCTGCTGGAAGGTGAACCTCCGCCCCAGTCTCAAGTCTTTTGCAGACTCCAAGAGGTTTTCTTCCAAGATTGCCCTGTATTTGGCTCCATCCATCTTCCCATCAACTCTGACCAGCTTCCCTGTCCCTGCTGAAGAGAAGCACCCCAGAGCATGATGCTGCCACCACCATATTTGACAGTGGGGATGGTGTGTTCAGAGTGATGTGCAGTGTTAGTTTTCCGCCACACATAGCGTTTTGCATTTTGGCCAAAAAGTTCCATTTTGGTCTCATCTGACCAGAGCAGCTTCTTCCACATGTTTGCTGTGTCCCCCACATGGCTTGTGGCAAACTGCAAACGGGACTTCTTATGGTTTTCTGTTAACAATGGCTTTCTTCTTGCCACTCTTCCATAAAGGCCAACTTTGTGCAGTGCACGACTAATAGTTGTCCTATGGACAGATTCCCCCACCTGAGCTGTAGATCTCTGCAGCTCGTCCAGAGTCACCATGGGCCTCTTGGCTGCATTTCTGATCAGCGCTCTCCTTGTTCGGCCTGTGAGTTTAGGTGGACGGCCTTGTCTTGGTAGGTTTACAGTTGTGCCATACTCCTTCCATTTCTGAATGATCGCTTGAACAGTGCTCCGTGGGATTCAAGGCTTGGGAAATCTTTTTGTAACCTAAGCCTGCTTTAAATTTCTCAATAACTTTATCCCTGACCTGTCTGGCGTGTTCTTTGGACTTCATGGTGTCGTTGCTCCCAATATTCTCTTAGACAACCTCTGAGGCCGTCACAGAGCAGCTGTATTTGTACTGACATTAGATTACACACAGGTGCACTCTATTTAGTCATTAGCATATTGACTCAGGGGGCTGAATAATTATGCATACCCCCCTTTTCAGTTATTTATTTGTAAAAAATGTTTGGAATCGTGTATGATTTTCGTTTCACTTCTCACGTGTACACCACTTTGTGTTGGTCTTTCACGTGGAATTGCAATAAAATTGATTCATGTTTGTAGCTGTAATGTGACAAAATGTGGGAAAGTTCAAGGGGGCCGAATACTTTTGCAAGCCACTGTATTCTTATATACTGTAGTTGTATATTAGGGGCACAATCTATGGTGAAAGTCTCTCTGGCTGTGACAGATGTTTTAAAAGAGGAATTTCAGGCTGCTCATGTAAACATGAAAAGTGATGTGGATTACCTGATTGTCTGGGAAGATTTGTTGTATGTATAATCTCCATCAATAATACGGTAGCAAGTGTTTGTGATACATGATTAAATATGCAATGAACACACAGTATCCAGGTGCAGAAAGTTAAAAAATTAAGAAACAACAAGTACAAAATAAAATAGCAACTCTGTCTCTTACTGAGTACAGTTAGTAGGTTTATTTATGTTTTTTAAAATAAATGATATAAACAAAATAAATATTTTTGTTTCACTGAATATGGTTTTCCATTCCAAAGTGTGACATGGCAATAGTACAGAGTTTGAATGGAAGATACATTTTTGGGCATTCAAATCCACAATTTCTGAGACCTGTGACTGAAGTCAAGATTGGCTTTTTTAATATTTAAACAAAATCCTTTACTTCAAAATGTGTCAATATAACTTTAAAAAAACAAAACGGGATTTTTTTTTATTACCAAGAGAAAACTGAAAAGGACATGCAGTTAAATCCTTTGACCTTTTCCAGGCAGATTTTGGAAGAACATTTTGTGTTGTCAGTTGACAGTTTGTAGATACACGTTTAATATGTTGTTTTCCCCTTTAGTTTGTATTAACACAAAACAAATACACTCCACCTTAAAAAACTGTTGAATAACACAATTTGAAATGCAAATGACACCATTAAAATAAATACACATAGTCTATTAGCTAATTTTTAAAAGCAGCAATTGTTTAAAAGGTGGACAATTTGGAAAGAAGCATATCGTATTATATGGCAACAGTATCCACAGTTCTAAGTTTGGAAATGACTCAGATGTTATGACTGTCATCTTACAAATTACAGTTACTTAAAACAAAATAATGAAGATCTAAAAGCATTTATTAAAAATGCAAAAGCTGAAAACTGCATGATCATGCCAATTATCCTTAGAAAAAAATAATCTACAACAATTTAAGTCCAAAACTATTTGCAAAAAATATCTACTACCTGTAAAGCTTTTCTGACTTTTACATTAATTAAATCCATTTAAATACACTTTACTAACAACATCACCAAAATGTTTCAGTGTGCATCAGCATGCTCTAAATCGTATCCTGTGAATCTGGTGCATCTGTTTCCTCAGAGATGGTGGCGTACAGATGGTAAATGTCAGACTAGAAGAGAAAGACAGTAATGTAAGAGTCCTGTAAGTCTGTGGCGATGATTAAGCCAAACAGAAAACATATTTAGTACCAGCTCTCACTTACATTTTCATTTTTCATCTGTTGCACGTTAGTTACTCGCTCAACTGAGGTGGACAAAATTACACATTGAAAAATATATTGTCTTTCTGATGTTCCAGTGCATTTAAACCAGACAGACACACCACAACAGTTTTAATGTCTCAAGTAATAGCACACACACACAGACACCACACACACACACACACACACACACACACACACACACACACACACACACACACAAACACACACACAGACACACACTCGCACGCACACACACGACACACACACGCACACACACACACACAAACTCACACACACACACACACACACACACATATTGCTCTTGTAAGCCCGTGTAGGTCAGAGCTGACTGTCAGGTTTTTCTCTGAATTATTCTCTGAGGTGACTTGTTGTGATTTGATATGATGTAAAGAAAATTGAATTGAACTGAATCTTTAAGAATCCAGGGTCTGTCTAGGGTGCTGTCACTCTAGATCTAGATAATACATAGATGCAATTTTGCTACAGAAGACATGACATATTCCACATTGGTCATACTCAGAGATAATACAAGAAATTATGTTTAACAAGTTTTGATGATGACACTGGTAGTTAGTTTAAAACTGAGTTGTTCTTTATTTTAATTTTGATGATTCTGAAGCAATCTAATGATATATTTGTTTATTTATTGACATTGCTTGATACACTGAAGGCAAAATAAAATGGAAAATGCTATAATCGTGCTTCAATATGTGTCACCTGAACACTGAAAAATTGTTTTTCTAAGCACATGAAATAAGTATTTCTCACCAGTTCTCCTTTTGAATATAAGAAGCCCCAGTACCAGTAGGATCATGCCCATAATTATTCCATTTCTTGTCACAGCTGCTGCCAAATTCCATAATGACTCTGTTTTGAAAGCCACAAACAAATTTCACTTGTAACTCAAACACAAGATACATCTGACAAAGTTACAGCAGTAACAGTGGACTGAGTGAAAGTATAAGTAGTATTATGGAAGTCTACGCAGTGTCTCTTACCTTCGACTTTCCCTGTAGTATCATTCTTGTTTGAATCTGTTTGGAAAAGAAGATTGATTTGGGCCTGTTAGCTTTGTATGTAGAGGTGTATATTTGTGTTCAGTCACTTAAAGCTGCAACAGATTAAGCATGGTTTTAATTCTTCAGGTTCTGTGCTTCTGCACATTCAATTTGAAATAATATACAGTGGGTAAAATAACTATTGAACACCAATATTTGAAGGTCTTGAGAGAGCTCGCTGGATTTACCCACCATGAGATGCTTCTTGTGTGACACCTTACTAAACAAGACACTTTTTCTTCACACACCATCTCTGTTTTGTTTTCTAATTACTGATCGATTTCAGGCGTCATGAATTTCCATGCCTTTTTACACCTCCCGTTTTTACCGTGTTCAGTACTTTTTCCCTGTGTCACTTGTCATAATTTAATTGAACTTAATTTATGGAATCTATGGTTTGATTTTTTCCACGTGGGGCTTTAATGGGTCGTTATTGATGTCTGGCGAGAATTTCATTTTAGTAGCACCATTACAAATATATTTACTTAGAAAATTGGTGACATGTCTGACACTTATTTTACCCACTGTATATTTTCCATGTCTTAGATAATTTGAGTGGTTTTGCATCTTTTTTGATATTTGCACAATCACTACAACATATAATTCTAAAACTAAAAACTGTGTTTTCTGTTTAGCAATGCAATCAACACTTCTGTCCTAATGTTGTCATCAGCTGGTCAGTTGACATTACACTGTTGTATTAGTTTTTATTTGGTATGCAATGGTAAACTAGTACTCATTAGGGAATGGCAACAATTATAATAATGAATATTAAACACACAAAAATATCTACAGATAAAATGTATCTGGTCATTTGCATCAATCAGGTTTATAATGAAGTGCCTGCAAAGTTAGTAACTTCCTTTCAACATCAGCTATAGCCCTGCTTACAAAGTACTGTTTTACTTAAGCTATTTAAGATGCTGAACATGGTGAATATTTACTGTTCCTACCAAACATCAGAATTTTAGAGTTAGAACTCAGATCATATTATTATGCTGAGAGTTTAATCAGACTCATTGTCTGCATGGTCAATAGGTCATTGTCGGACGTACTGTAATAAAACAGGGACATTTCAAACTTTCATGACAATTTATTTTCCCATTAATGATGCACTCAAAAAAGTCTCACCTGTAGTACTGTCTCCCGATGTTATATACTGAGTTGTTTTGACAGGAGTGTTCACACCAGTTGTAGGGTTGAGATTAACAGTAGCTAATCCTTTAAGACAGAAAAACATCAAATAAATATTATGTCACTACGACATTTTGCTGCTTTCTTTTCTGTATTAAAATTGAATTGAAGTTATGACATGCCAAAAGAAAAGAACTAACAAAAATATTTCCTGGTGTATTTCTGACATTGTTTTACTCTTTAGTCTTCAGAACATTCAGTTTGAAAAAAACAAAACAAAACTACACTTAAATTGAATGTCTTATTTTTTACAGTTCTTCCTTAAGTGTTATTGATGCACTCAATGACGTCTCACCTGTGGTGCTGTCTCCTGATGTTTTATACTGAGTTGTTTTGACAGGATTGTTCACACCATTTGTAGGGCTCTGATTAAGAGCAGCTAGTCCTTTAAGATAGAAAAATATCAAACAAATATTATAATGCCACATATTTTCTGTATTGACATTCTTGATTATTTATTTCCTTGCGTTATTGAAAACAAGTATTTGGCATGAAGTGCCAAAAGAAAAGAAGAGTTTCTTGGTGTATGTCTGCCAACTTTTCTATAATTTAAAGGAGAAGTATGTTAAACATAGTATTCTAACAGTGTTTGAACCGTTTCACTCTCCAGTCTTCAGAATATTTAGTTTGAAAAATAACATATAACACAAAAATTAAACGTCTCATCTTTCATTTGAGCAGATTTACATTAATACAGAAAAAATATTTTCTAATTTTACCACGTGAGTAATTTATTTACCTGATAGTGAGTTCACTGAAGTGGTAGAAGTTAAAGTACTGGGTTTGTTGAGACTTGATTCTGTTCCGTAAATGTTCAATAAAATGTTAAAGACATTTAAAAGAAGTGATGTGTGATGATGCTCTGGGTTGTTTGTTAAGTGTGTCCTACCTGTGGTCATGATAGATGACGGTTTGTTGATCTTTGGTGGTTCACTTTCCAGAATAGCTACAGTAAAAGGAAATTAATTTGAGTATAAATAAAGGTTTTGTTATTACTGCAATCAAATCACATTTGAAAATGTGTTTTCAAATGTGTTTGAAAACACATTTACTATTTCATTAAATGTCAAATCTGTCCCAAAGGGAGTGTCAGACGAGGGACTATTTTTTACCTATACTGAAATATTTGGTAGTGTCTAGGCCTGGGTATCATCACTGATTTCTACAAGTGATCCGATTCTGATTAAACAAGGTCCCGATTCGATTTGATCCCCGATTCCAGTCGATTCGATTCAATTCAATTTTGAATCTGACAGTGAAAAATATTATAATTCTGATCATTTATCAGCAAATATTCATATTTTTATATCTATGTATTAAAACAAAATATTTTGTGTCAGGAAGGGTATCCAGTATAAAAACCTTTACCCATTTCTACTGTGAGCATGTTATTATGCTGACAATATCATCAAAGCTCAAAGAGACTGCAAGTCTGGACGTACTCTTTTTCACATCAAAGCTCAGTTCTATTTATTTGCACTGAGGATCCAAATAAACAAAGTGAAACGAAATGAAAATCTTGGGCGTAACAACCGCAGAACATTTTTAGAGAAAAATACTTTGAATGCTTTTATTTTAGTCATTTTCATCATTTTAATTAATTAAAGTAGCATCTGTGCTATAAAGTCTGCTTATCTTCGACTTACCTGTTAAGTTGTATCGATCACTGCGAGGAGACAAAGACCTGGGTTCCCTCTTCAAAGTGTAATCACAGCTGGCATCTTTTTGTTGAACAAAATGTAGATGTCTCAAAAAATCATCAATTGAGACATAAAACTGGCAGAACCTCTGTTTGTTTTTTGTCCTGCTATTCTTCCAGACAGCTACTGTGAGGACTAAACGACTTGCTTCTCCAAAGTACAGATTACATCCTGTATCATCTTTCACAGATCCAGGCAGAGAGCAAACAAACCCAACATGTTCCCCATTAAAATGCTGCACACTCATCTGTGGTGTTTGACCTACATGAAGATTAATCAAGTCCCATTAATATACAAGAATATTGTATGTTTTACCAGCACAACAATAACAATACTGGTGTTCATAAAAGCTGAACTGCAACACATTTTGTAATTAACTGTAACTGGTCATGTTTAGATTCCTGCGTGCTGTCTTTGGTGGTGTAAGAAAATATGTAAGAACAACACTCCTAAAAAAGTTTTGTGAAAGAAAACATGAAGCTTTATAAAGATAATAATGTCTAACACACTGTATGATAACTTATCCAATCACAGGAAGAGCAGTCTCTCACTTTGTATGGTGATGGAGGATGGTTCACTGTCAGCAGACGTTGAATTAAGGTCTCCAGTGTAAAAACATCTCACTTTAACTTCAGCAGGTGAACTGTGATGTGACATTAACAGCAGTTCTGTTGCAGTGAAATTCTGCAGGCATGAGAAGGCTTTGGAAGTATTTTTGCTCACCGTGTAGAAAAAACACTGATGAACTGAAACAGATGTTGGTGCCTGACAGTGTAACGTGACCGTGTCCGTCTCTGAGATCACCTCTGTGTTCACTGTCAGTGTTGGTGGAAGAAGAGCTGAAAAATCAGAGGTAAAGAAATTTTTGATCTAATAGATAATTTTTGGTTTAAGTAAAGAACAAATATGCAGTCACAGAAAAATCTGAACACTGGAACATCAGGGACTCACCTTGTGCTTGAATCTTATGAACAAAAGCTGTTGGAAAGAAAATTTGTTAACAACATACTAAATGCACGTATTAATAACCATTATTATAATTATGTATTAATGGCTCATTAATGCAAACAAACTGTCTTTTCAAGATCACAGGAATTTGTCCTGCTGAGAAAGTTTTAGTTTGGGACTCCTCACGTGAGTTTATTGATTAAAAAAAAAAAAAAAATAGAAGCACCACAAAGACACAAAAGTTGCTGTAAGAACACAAAGTAAAATCCCCAACCATGAAAAATGTAAAACCTACAGATTCAACATCTTCAGTCGAAAAGCTACAAGAGGTTTAACTTACACATGAGGATGACAGACAGAAGGTGTCCAGCCATGATGAAGACGATTAATGTGACTGTGCAGAACACATGTGAAAGTCTGACTTTGTAAAGGCTGATGTTCCAGTTTAAGGAACGTCACAGGAAAACCACAGGAACCACTTTAACACAAGCAGAGCAAAAAGTCATGAACGACCCTCTGATACTACTTATACTGCAGTGGAACCAGGACTTCAACTTCCTGTTCTGTGGCAAAGTCACATTTTACCTGCTCTCAGCAGATTTGACTGGTGATTCTACATTTGCCATTTCTATGATGTGATCATCCTTGAAAATAAATATGCGACCAACCATTAACATGGGTCACAAGATGGCTGCTGAAAAGGGAAACTTGCTTCTTTGTGTTTAAATAACAAGTTAGCTTAGAATTTGTGTGTGTGTGTGTGTGTGTGTGTGTGTGTGTGTGTGTGTGTGTGTGTGTGTGTGTGTGCAGTTTCTCTTCTCCTTCTCAGAGAGATGACAGACCTCAGAACAAAAATCTACAGGAAATAAGAAAAGTCTGAGAAAGAAGAGAAAGCGGTTTAGGTTATTCTGGAAGAACGACTGTAATAATAATGATACTAATGGATTGCATTTATATAGCGCTTTTCGGGACCCTCAAAGCGCTTTACAATTCCACTATTCATTCACTCTCACATTCATCACACTGGTGGAGGCAGCTACAGTTGTAGCACAGCTGCCCTGGGGCAGACTGACAGAAGCGAGGCTGCCATATCGCACCATCGGCCCCTCTGGCCAACACCAGTGTGCTGCTTCTTCAGTTGAGCATTGACAAGAATAGCCTCATCTTCCTCCGACAGGGCAAATTATATAATAAAATATGTAAATAAATTCAGTGTGATTCAGAGCATTATTTAAGTTGAATGTTGTTAAGATGTAAATCACCAATTCAAATCAAATCAAATCAAATCAAATCACTTTTATTGTCACATCGCATGTGCAGGCACACTGGCACAGCACATGCGAGTGAAATTCTTGTGTGCGAGCCCCACAAGCAACAGAAATGTGCAAACACAACAACACAAACCAGCAAATACAAGAATGGCTACATCTGAAACTAATAAATATATGTACAATATATAATAGTGTATGCATTTCTGGATGTGTATACTAAATATTTTTTACGTGTGTGTGTGTGTGTGTGTGTGTGTGTGTGTGTGTGTGTGTGGGTGATGTGTATACACATTTTACAAATTAAATAGTAAAAAATAATAAAATAAATATATAAAATATACAGAGTTGAATATGTGAAAAATTCACTTAAATAAAGTTTATACTAAGAAAGCTGAGTAATCTTACATACCTGACTTTGTGTAGCATGACCCCGTATTAGAGAGGACAACAGTTTGAGTAGATAACAATTCAGAATCACGTACTGACACATGAAAAGTTAACAAAGCTCACTTTCAAGATTCAAGAGAATCGTGCATTAGCGTTGACTGATCCTTTTAGGGGTGTGACAAATGGAAAAAGTCTGAAAACTGGAAATGGATCAGTTAGAGCTACACATGTGTGAGGGGCCTACATTTATGTTTAACTGCTAAGTCATTCAAATATCTAATCAGCCAATCATG